TGATTCGGGTCGTGACCAATTCGGGTCGCAACCAGAGTCGCGGAACGAATTAAGTTCGTGAACTGAGGTACCACTGTAATTTAGTAAGGCAGTAGTCAATAAGCTCACTTTTTAAAAAAACATGAAAGAGGATGCAGAGGTGTAATGGGACAGGAAGCTTTAGGATCAAATTAATGTGCTGTGATTGGAATAGATCTTGACTCTGAGAACTTGAAAATTTAGAATCAAAATTGAATATAAAATAGGATTTGAGCTAGGGCTGCAAATGTTATGGGAAGACAATTTTGTATAGCTATTGATACAAGGTTTCAAATTAGCAAAATAAATATGAAATCTGCATGTGCAATGGGATATTGCTTTTATTATTTATTTAAAACCAAGCTATTCTGCAGCAGAACCAGTTGCAGAAGCAAAATTATTAAGCTAAAATTAGGTTGCAAGATTTCCCTTGTGGAAAAGAATAATTTTCTGTGGGATTTATCCCAAAAGTTTAAGTAACTGAAATTAAAACTGGGAAGAAAAACATTGTGGTAGCTAAGCAAGGCATAATTAAAGACTGAACAGGCATTTTGTAATAGACCCTGAAAATGATAATTTTTAAATCTTGAATATTAGAGCCCTGGCATTTGGTGCTCTGAAACATCCTCCTCCTGGACTCTTTTCTTTTTTAGTAATTGTTTTATATAGGTTTTATGTAATTGAATTCTTATTTATTGTTTTAATGAGTTGTAAGCTGCCCAGAGTCGCCCATTAAGGGGAGATGGGTGGGAATAAATTTGATGATGATGATATGATTTTTAAAATTTTCAATAAGATTTACAAATTGGTTTTTCTGAAATTTTTCCTCAAAGACTGCTGCTGTGCCAAGAAAGAATTTTGCATGTTTTATTTCTCATAACTGAAGCTTTGTAGATCTCGTTTGCGCTGATAACAGTGTTTATTTCTAGCTTCCCGGAAAAGACATAAAAAAGACAGAGACGATGACAAAGCCTGGGAATATGAAGAGCATGACAGACGTTCTGGAGATCATAAAAGGAGTAGCCATTATCATGAAGGAAGGAGGAGTTCTGGTAGCAGTCGATATCGCACTCGAAGTCCAGAAGACTCGGACATGGATGATTATTCTCCTCCTCCTAGTCTCAGTGAAGGTAATAGGACTGCCCGTCTCCAACTGTTTCTGCCAGCCCAGTAGGTTCTGGCAGAGTGGGTGCACTCCAGGTCCCCTCTCTTAAATAATACCACCTTTTGATATCAAGGAAGCATGCCTTCCCTGTTGTGGCTCTCGCACTCTGAAACAGCATCCATCCAGAGATACAGATGGTGCCCTCTCTCCTGGGATTCCAAAAAGCTCTTAGGACCTGGGTTTGGTCTCAGACCTGGAGCCAATGTGTGTGTGGGGTTCCTGTTGTTGTTTTTTGTTATTGTTACAGTTGTTTTAGCCTAAGCTGTCTGTGGTGTATGTTTTTAACTGTTTTTATGATTTTGTAAGCTGCTCAGTCTACTGGAGTGGGCAGCTATAACAAATTTAAATAAATAAACAATAGTCCTTTTATTAAATTAAGCTGGCTGATATGCCAACCTTCCATATGAAGATCGAGTTTGTATTTGCTCAGAGAGGGTGAATCTGTTTCACACATCCTTTTAAAGTGCTCACACAGGCAATCTGAGCTAATACACCCACTCTTGAGTCTAATAAATTATACTCATGATGAGGAGATTGAGGTATTCTTATTAAATTACCAATACCCAGGTGTTTTGAAGGCAGTAGCAAAATTTTTATTTATAGTCTTAGCTTATAGAAACTGTTTGGTGCCTTCAATGAAATGTTAACTTTATAATGGTTCTTCCTTTAATATATGCATGTACTATTACACATGTATTAATGGTGTGCTGTATTTTTAAATTCTGTGACTTGGTCTTGGACTGTAAATAAATAAATATTACATGTACTATTACACATGTATTAATGGTGTGCTGTATTTTTAAATTCTGTGACTTGGTCTTGGACTGTAAATAAATAAATATTACATGTACTATTACACATGTATTAATGGTGTGCTGTATTTTTAAATTCTGTGACTTGGTCTTGGACTGTAAATAAATAAATATTAAATTTATTTTCATACTATTTATTTAGATATATTATAAACCATCAGTTGAAAAACATTTGTATAGTAATATATTGATATAGAAAATAACATTTCCTGCAAATATTTCATTTTATAAACTTTATATCTTTATATTTAAAGTGGCTAGAAAAATGAAGAAGAAAGAAAAACAAAAGAAAAGGAAAGCTTATGAACCAAAGTTAACTCCTGAAGGTATTTTATTTTTTTAAATGTCCCTGCTTTGATTATTTAATTGCAATTAATTATTCATGACTCAAACTATATTATATTGCCTGGGTTTTGTAGAAATGATGGATTCTTCTACATTCAAGAGGTTCAGTGCTTCAGTTGAAAATATTTTGGACAACTTGGAGGACATGGATTTTACTGCATTTGGTAAATACTTTTTTAAAAGCTTTTTTGGTAAATACTTTTTTAAACCATACTGTTCCCTCAGCTCCCATGACACTGGTATTTTCTGTTCTAAACTGGTCTGTGTGTGTATGTATACACACACACACACACTTTTGAGACTAATTCTACCATCCTCATCTACAGCTATTAACCTGTATGCCTCACAAAGAGTAATTAGAATTGGTATAAAAGGAATTCCTTTTAAGATCTGTTGGGACAATTGAGTTTTGTTGTGAAGTACACTTTTCCTAAAGTGTTTTTTCATTGGCCCAACATCTAAATGTTGCTAAAAGTTGTATTGGGAAATCATAACTCTGGTGTGACTAGTCATTCATGTGATCTGTGGCATTATATGTGAATGCAATCTTTGACTTTTTGAAGGAGTTGATGACATACTAATCATAATATGGCTATTTTGCTCCCAATTTATGTAGCCAAAAAACTGACCAATGAATTCCTTAAGACCTACTGTATTGTCAGCTCAAGTATACAATATCTCTTGGAGTACCTAGTCAACACAATAAGCTAAATAATTGAGCAGCAATTGATTTTGAAACACATGAGGCTGTGGGAAGGGATGATTATTTCATAGACACATGCATTTGTACTTAACTATAAACTCTGATTAAGGAGTCATCATGGGTACATCCTGTTTTTGAGAAAATATATGGAAGTGTATTTTGCTTAATCTAAAAGTATATAAATATTTGTCATAGATTTAGGTATAGTAAGAAACCCAGGACACAGGCCGACTCCCATTGTGAAAATGTTTCTCTGCACTTTGGGTGCACAGAAATAAACTTTTTTCTACAATAAGCAGTACTAAACTTTAATATATATACCAGTTCATTCTACTGTATTGGACTCTCCAATTCTTATTCTTTATTTTTACTCTTAGCCTTATTTGTGTTCTTATTCTGGTATTCCTATCTTTTAAGTTGCTTTATACCTTTCTTAATTGGTTTCAACTCTATCCCATATACAACTCATTCCTTCCTCTACTTCTTTCTTATTCTGTTCTGTAATTCATAATTCAACACCCCATTTTACATTCCTATATTTATTGTTTTCCGTATCTATTTATATTCTGTTCCCTTCTGTGTCAAGATTCCAGAGTATTCCTACTAACCTCTCTTGATGTTCCCTGTGCCATCTCTCTCTCTCTCTGGCCTGGCCTTCCTGATATTGGTACTGCCATGGCTCAGCCTCTGGCATCCATTGTGGCTGCTTGGGCTCCAGGGGAAAAGTGGTGTGTGTGTGTGGATTTTCTCCTCTGTCCCATACTTCTTCTGGACATAATCCTCCCTGGGGCCTAGCCCCATGATAAAGCCACTTAGCTTAGAGTGGCATAGCAATCTGAGTTGGGGGAGTCAATTACCATCTTCATTACTTACTTCCTCTCCCAGATCTCATGCTGCAATCACTGAACATATATTTTGTGATGCCATCCTGCTGATGCCATTCTCTTCCCCTTCAGCACTGCTACAGGTTTCTCCAATATCTGCTGGGGCCATTGCTGCCATTTCAACCTTCAGATGCTGGACAAATATTTTGCTGCTATAGCCGTTTTCTTTCATTATTAATTTCTGAATCCTTGTCTGAATAGGTTTGTGGCTTTATACACAAAAAGAGAAAACCAGAGAAATAATTTTGTGAACTTTATTTCTATACTTTTGTAATAAGGCTGTCATTCAAGTACATTAAAAGGAAAAGTGAATGTGTATTCTTTTGTTTTTTCAGGTGATGATGATGAAATTCCTCAAGAGTTATTACTGGGGAAGCATCAACTAAGTGAATTGGGCAGTGAATCAGCTAAAATTAAGGCCATGGGCATCATGGATAGGGTAAGTTACTGTTTTTTTAAAAATGAAGACATAGTAAATATTTATGAGGGACTTTCACAGATATTTTTGGTTTGGAATGCATTTTGATATTGAAGCCATTTGGGGGAGACTGAAAAAAAATGTCTCTGTTTATCCTTATTTTATGTTAAAACAATTCTACTGTTTGTTGTGTTTCTGAAGTAGTCCAGAGTGAACTCTGTCTGGTCCTTGGCAGGCTGTTAAAAAAAAGAGCTAATACTGAGCAAAATTGAACAATTTCATTTTACTTCAGAGCTATTTCTTCTCACTTTTGGCAAAGACATGAAAGAGACTCAATATGACAATACATGATCTTGGTTTGTCCAATCCATCTAAATGTCAAAAACAGAAAAGTAACAATGAATTAATTTCCTTTCATGCATTTATTGTTTGTTTGGGTTTTTTTTAGCTTTCAACTGAAAAAACAGTGAAAGTTCTGAACATCTTAGAAAAAAATATTCAAGATGGTGCAAAGCTTTCTACTCTGCTTAATCATGTAAGTTTTTAAAAAGGTTGATAACATAGTATTTACTTATTAATGTTCTATCTCCTGAAAAAACTGCAATTAGTACTACAGTTTTAATATTGATATTTAGTTGTCAGTATCTTACTAGAGTTTTTTAGATTTTTTTTTTATTGAATGAGTAATTATTTGACATAGGTTTGAACACCATTTGAGCATTCAATATTAAATGCTTTCCAAAAGTACCTGAGTATTCAGTTTTTAACAGCATATAGTGAACAAGTGCTTTTGATTATGATTTTAAATAGATACTCTGTATTCCTAAATATATTGCATTTTCTTCTAAAGGTGCCCAGAGCATGTTGGGATATACACATATAATTTCATTTTCAATAAATGGGCTGCCTATATGTTCTTAATTCTCTTTGCTTTTTTAATGTTTAAATGTTCATTGCTAATACAAAAAAAAAACAACCTACAGAAAATAAGGAAAAGAAAAAGTCAAGCAGACAATAACATAATATTATAATTAACATGTATTCAGTTTTAAACAGTAAGTTAAACCTTGCCCACATAGACCATATTGTTCAGTATTTCAATTTCATTAATAATGAGATAATTCAAAGGCTGGAAGTAGACCCATTTTTTCAATTCAGGATTTTAGGTCCAGATTGATAATTTATTTTCAGTTATGCAAAATTATATTTTCAATTATACTCCAAATTTGATTAGTCAATAATTCTTCATGAACTGATAAATTCCAAGTTTTTGATGTATAGTTCAACATCACATTTACATCTTTAAACTTATTTTTCTTTCCAAAATTGTATTAACAGCAATGTGAATATTAGATCAAACCAGGACAACTGTAGATCAAGCCCAAAACATATGTTTCCTCTCAAATATATTACATTTATAGAATAAGAAGATTGATACTCATCTCTTGTTAAATATTCCATGAGGTGCCCAATAAACATAAACATTCTTTTTATTTTTTTTTATTTTAGTAGATACTTAACACAAGAAGAAAAACAGAAAAGAGAAGAAAAGAATGTAGAAAATAGATTTACAAGCATTATGGGATTAAATAAAAATCAGATCAATATGCAATATTTAACAATAGCCAGAATAATATGAATTATTAAAATTTAAAAATGCAAAAAAATCTGTCTAAAAATTCTATTTCTGTGTAGTAAATTAAAAATTTAAATATTAAAGTCTTATGCTAAAAGAAAACTAAACTTTGAATGCAGTACAAGCTCATAAATAGAATTACAATCCAAGAAAGATTTCCAAATGAAATCAAATTCTCAGTCAGATTTTGTTTCAGTCACAGGGTTGTTTTTTGATATCAATCTATATTCCCACAACTTAATTTGCCATTTTTTATGAAGGGAATTATACATGATTTCCAATGAAAAGCTCAATATCCTGGTAGTTGTTACCATATACAAAGCCAATTCAATAAACATTACAAATATTTTGATTAATTAATTGCATCTTAACATCATAAGAAATATTTAACATCTTTAAAACACAATACTATCGGTTTGTCATAATAAGATATTCCAGAGTTCTTGCAAATGCCCAGTATCCATTTTAATAATACCCTTTAACCTTCTGTAGAAATAAGCTGTAACTTTAGTTTCTTCCAAAGTACTTTCCAATACAATAAGAATATGGGGCTTCAGATTTTGAAATATCAAAAGATGTTTTAAGTAACTCTGTCGTCATTCTGCAGTTTTAGACAATCCAGTTGTCTCAAGTACTCAAAAATATTTTTAAATTGAAATTGTCCCAAAATGTCAGTTTTCAGGCAAGCAGATTTTGAATTCTGCCCCAAATGTCTTTCAGCCTTCTTTCTAGTTGTCCCTGTAATGGGGTTTGAAGTAAATCACTGGAATTCCACACAGACACAAAAACAGAGGTTATGCAATAAGCCCAATGATAACGTTGAAAATCCAAATTATATAAATCTATACTGCATTGAACTCATTCTTGTCTTTATAATCTTAATCTGACAGTCCTAATGGTATTGGTATCACAATGTTATAGTTTGTGTTGGTAACTTAAATTTTAGTAATTTCTCACAGTATACAGATTAAACTACTTTCACAATGTGATGACTGTAATTTTATTATTGAATTTTATTTTATGCTGGTTGATGATTGAAATAAATAATTTTTGAAAGTTGAAAGCCTGGAAAAGAAAAAGTGGGGATTTCTGTATCTCATCTTTAAATGTCACAGGATTAATTAATGAATTAATTCTGAATCACAGAATAAATTATTCCAGTAGCAAAGATAATTGAAATCAATGTATTTGTTAGAGGAAGAATCATTCTCTATCCTCCTAATTTTAAGTTTATATTATATTTTAAACTATAATAATTTGTTCCTTTTCAAGTAAAGAGGAGATTACATGAATATATATTATTAAATCTAGCCAACTGGTATGTCTGTTTGAATGTAGCCAAATTTTGTTTTAAAGTTTGTAAAACCGATTTTAATCAGCATACAGGTACCTCGCTTAACAACTGCCTTGTTTAGTGACTGTTCAAAGTTATGTTAGTTCTTAAAAAGTAACTTTACAACTGATTCTTGCACTTACGACTGTCGCGGCATCCCCGTGGTCACGTGATCGAGATTCAAGCACTTCACAACCGGTGGGGGTTTACAACTGTCACAGTGTCCCGCAGCACGTTTGTCATTTGTGTGCTTTACAGCTGGCTTCTGACAAGCAGAGTCAATGGAGAAACCAGCAGTAAAATTACAGGTCGTGGTCACGTGATGTCTCGCTTAACAACTGCATCGTTTAGTGACGGAGTTGCTGGTCCCAATTGTGGTAGTTAAGCAAGGACTACCTATATTGATTTAGTTATTATTGTTTATTTTTATCTTCTTTTATTTTGTAAGTTTTAATTCTACCTTCTTTTAAGTGGAATTCTGGTCATTAACCATATAAAGGGCTGACTGGCCAGCTGCTATAAATAAAATTGCTAGAATATTGGGATACTCATGTAAGATTGAAGCTGCCAGAATCTGTGTTTCTGTTCAGTTTCTCAGTTGTGGAATCAGTTCTTGGCTATATAAGTAAAATAATTTATATGGCATGTTTATTTGCAGTATTCTAAATCATTGTAATATAATGGAAACCCTTTCCTCCAGTATGTAGTAAGAGTGGTTAATGAGAAGGAGCTTGAAAAATTCTAATCATTAAAACTTTTCACTGATAAGCAAGTAACATACCCATGTGGTATCTCTGTAAATTGCTAGTGAGGACTTACAATTACATAGCCTATTGAAAGAAGACATGATATAGCACATATCTTGTTTCCTTATCTGGTAATAGATGAAGCTAAGCTCACATATTGGGTCACAATACTGCAGGGTTACTAGTTTCTCTCATCACTATAAAGGGAATTTTTAAAAAAAGATCCTTGAAGGACATCACATTGGGATGGGGAAAACAGCAACTAAAAATTGTTTCTAGTTCATTTATAATCTGTTATCAGAAAGGTATTCCCCCCTCTCTTTCTCGAAGGAGAGAGCAGAAGCCTTTTCAATTTATTTAATTAAATTCCCTGGGATATTTAACTAGAGATAGCTAATCTCTCTCATCAACATTCTTTAACAACATTTAACACTTCAGGCTGGAGATTACCTATCTGGCTTGGTTTTTCATGTCACAAATTTAATTTACTGTTGATATTCTTTCAACATTGCTATAGAGTTTCCATTTATTTTCAAAAACATTTAACCCATGGAATAATATAAATTGTAGGAGAGCCATATTAGTCTATGGTAGCAAAACAATGAGGAGGAGTTTAGTAGCACCTTTTTTGACTAACACATTTAGTTAAAAGGCTTAAGCTTTCGTGAGCTAGAGCTCACTTCATCAGATGCATGGAGTGGCTAAATTGATGTAGGATTTAAATTGGGATGAGGTGTGGAAAGGGGGAGGAAGAAAAGACAGGTTGATAATGCAGGTTGCATGTGAGACAGATTACAAGTACCTTATAAATTAACAATTGTAATACGTTAAACATCCATGTGTTAGTTGAGATCTTTGAGATTGCCTGAAACTTTTTGTTGTCTGTGAGTTAAGCAATCTCTTGTTTAATGCTGGTGTTGTTTTGTTTTTCAGTCTTGTTTTTCCAAAATGGACACTTCGAGGTCTGCAACGTAGTGTCCTGGGAGGTTGAAATGCTTTCCTACTACTTTGTCTTTATTTTGAGTCCTGATGTATCCGTTAATTATTTTGTGCCAAGTTTACCCCATTTGTCCTAGGTAGAATCCAGAGGGGTTTTGCTGGCACATAATGTCATATATTACAGTAGAGGAAGAGCCTGTGAAGATGCCTCTAATCTTGTTGTGTACTTGTAATGGTGCTGTAGGTATAGATGTGGAGGCAAAGTAGGTATCTGGATTTGTTGCAGAGTCTAGTTCCCATGTTAACATCATTGTTTCTTGTTGTTTGTGAGAATCTGCTTCAGGTTGTGTGCTTCTCTATAGACAAGTATGGGCCTACCACCCATGCCTTAGAAAGTACAGTATCATTCCCCAGGATACACAGTGCACTGATTGTGTGTATTGAGTAAACAATGTGTGATTTTAACAACATAGTACTGCCCTAGTACAGTAAAATGTAAATGCATTTTAAAAGCTGTGATCAGGATATCAAATTATGCATATGTATACACCTTCTCAGAGCCTGGAAATTAATCAGAAGAGCAATATAGAGAGAGACTAAAGGTCCACCAGCAATCTGAAGTAGAGGTTTTGGACTTGGCATTTTAAAATGCAGTCTGGTAGCGCAATGGGGCATAAGAGCATGTACAAAGTACCCAGTCTTGAAATACTCAGCCCAATACTGTAGCAATAGATAATCAGGTAAGCAGAAAGGCAATGGCATGAGATTATGAAGGTCCTCTTCTGTTTGGGCTGTGGTCTGTGATTTTGCTGTGAAATCCATGTGGATTTCCATGTGAATCCTGTGCTTGTGTTGTGTTGTATGGTCCCAAAGTGAGGCACCCTATAGTACCTAGTAAGGTCGGTGCTGAGCGCATCATCATTGGCCAAGTATGAAGGGGGAGGGTGAGCTATAGGAGGGGGTCTGTGGAAGAGGTTTATTGAATCTCACTTCATCTCAGGTGGCTAATGATGAGTGAAGCTGCACCATGCTTTATTCAGGTGAGTCAGTTGTTTCTCTGTTTAGAATAGATCATCATTTAGAAGGTGGTGCAGAAACTGAAGAGACATTGAAGTAAGCCACATAAATCTGTGAATCTTTCATGCAGCATGAACCAGTGACTTGTCCCAGTATGATGTGCATAGGCAAGTTAGTGACTGCGTCTGTGTGTGACCCAAACAAGTTCATGTCTGCAGGATAGCTCTCATTGCTTATGATCGGCCACATCTGCATAGTAGACAAATGCTTGTCAGTGGCCTTAATATTAAGGAAGATGAGTTGCTCTACCAAATGGGTGTCCTGGCTTAAGCACTGTGGTGCCCAGGAGGCCATACTCATGATTAAGATGCTGGTTAATGGATGAGATATATTGCTGGGCATTAATGCAAAATGGAGCATTTTTTGTTACTGGTCAAGTCAGTATGTAATGCCTGTGTTCTTCTTGACCATGTACCACACACGCCTTTCAAAGAGGAGAATGGCATGCTTGGACTTACCAAGGAGAATCTCTTGCTAAAATTGGGATTCTGGTTCCTGCTGCTGAGGTAGAATGTCTGCTGGGTAGTCTACTCTTCTGCTTTGGGTTTTGTCCTCTCCTCCTTTCCCCTTCTTCCACCTAGGTGACTTTTGATACTAGGAGCTCTCTTCACGGGGGGATATCATCATTGCAGATGATACACTTGTCACCTAGACTTGCATGTCACCAAAAAAATTTCAAGCAGTTCATAACTGCAATGGAAGTTGGGCTATCAAGGGTCTGTCCACCATGGAAGCCAGCTTCTCCCTGAGTTCAACATGATCTTTTCTAAGAGAAGAACCAAGGGCAGGGCCTGGCTCAATGCACGAATCTCTTCATTTAAGAAGTGTGCTTCAAAGAAAAATGGCTCAAGTGGGAAGCTGAGGAAACATATATCTGAGTGTATAGTCATGTCATGCATGGCATGTCACTTTCTTGAATTTAGTAAGATGAAGTTCTGCTGGGTAGGGACATTCTGAAGGACCAAGCATTGGAAGTAAGCTAGGTTTAACTGCTGCTCATCTAATATCTGCCTGTTCTTGATGCTCAAATGAAAATACTCAGGAGTCATATAGTTTATACAGTTAATTCCCCCAGTTAAGCTGCAGTGGTAACCATGGTACCTGCTTTAGCCCACTACCATCATATCCAGGCACAATTTGGGGGAGGGGAGGAAGCCTTCTCTAGCATTCCCTCAGCCTTACCCATCACACTGCGGCTGTAGGAAGAGCTGATATGTTTCTAAAGTCAAATTTCTGTGCACCTGTCACTCTTCAATTTAGTTGAGCAGCAGACTTTGTTGTGGACCTCTGTCTGACTTTTGTCTACCTCTAACTGCTCCTCTTGTGCCAATGTGGGAATAGGGTTTTTATAGAAAGAAATATATTCCTAAACTGTGGGGAGGAAGAGGGACACCATAAAGGAAACCAAAAAAAGATTTGTATGTGTGCTTTTAGCCTAGTGAGCAGTACAACAGTATTGTTAGAACTAAATCACAGATAACATTTAACTGGAAGAATTAAGAAGAAGAATTAAGAATTCCCCCAATTAAACACGCATACCTTATTTGGAAAGGGATTTCTTTTCCTGAGAGGATGGGATCTCCTTTTAAACCTTAAAGAGGAATTAATTGAAAAGCATAGGAGTGGAAAATCACCTCTCTTTCTTTCCTTAAACTAATATCCATTACAAGGATTCAAAACTAGAACATTTGTAGGGGTAAGCAGAGATCTGCAAAACACAGAAGAATAGTGAAAATGAGTGAGCAAAAGTAATTAAAAATAGGAGAAAAAATATGCAGCTAAATCTAGTTTATGCCAGTGCTATTCAGTATGCCTCTTCATATCTTTCTATCCTGGTAAACCATGTTTGCTTCCACCATACCCATACACTGCTTCATGTATAGCCTTTAAATTTCCTGTATCTCTTTTGTGAGGACTTCATCAGCTCCTTTGAACCAAGAATTTCTCTGTTTTCACTTTCTTTTCAACCCATGCACTCTTCATACATTTGTTTTATGTTTTGATCCTCCTCTATCCTCTCTGTACAATCAAACTATCTCAACATAGTTCTTTTGTGCTGGTCACTCACTTTTCTGTTTAGTCCACATTCATTCTGAACTCATTTATTGCATGCATGTTTCACACACACATTAAACAAGTTGCACAGCCACAACTTCATATTTTAACATTTCTTCAGTTATATAATCAATTCCTGCAGCTTATCCATTTTTCAAGAATAGAATAGAACAGAACAGAACAGAACAGAATAGCTTCCTTACCAGTTTTTTTTCTTGGTCACTAAAAATAAAAAAATATTTTGAAAAGAACTTACTCAAATAGGATAGGAGTACCATGAAGGTTTCCTAGAGACAGGTAGCTATGTAATGAAGTTGCTATAGCAGCAGCAGTGCATTCAGCCTGTTAAATGTAGTTGCCTTTTCCAGCAACAAGAGTCTTGATCCAAATGGCTCTTCACTTGGCAATGTACTGCTTTAATGACAGCTATTTGGAACAATTTTGCATCCTACAGATTTCCCTGTCCAGTCTAAGCAATGAAAGTAGGTACATGACCAGTTCTTCTGACTGTATTGTCAGTCTATAAAAAATGTAAAAACAAAAAAGCAACCAAATTATAAATCTCAGTATAAAAATCTGATTGCAGCGTTCAGTACAATAGAAGCTTGTTGTGAGCTTGAAAAGCAACTTTCAAACATGAGTGTCTTGTTTCAAATTAAAATACTCAAAATGACCATTTCAAGGTGGAAATATTTTGTACACACTAAATAGGGCTGAAATTGATTGGCTGATGCCCTAAAGTGCTGGTAAGTTTTATTATACATGGCAATTCCGTGTGAAGGTGTAGATTGAGCAACTAAAGTACATTCTCAAATTTTGTATGTAGATTAAAATTCACCTACTTTTGGTTAGCAGAACTATTAGCTTATTATGCAGAGTACTCATGATATAGAAACATAGGAACTTGCCTTACACTGAGTTTTATCATTGCTTTGTCTACCTTAATTTGTCTATATTGAGTAGCAGTGACTCTCCGTAATTTCAGAGAGGACTACTTCTTAGCTGTTTGTAGACATCAGGTATTGTATTTAGATATTTGCTTACAAGCTGTATTCTATTGCTGAGTTGGGCCCTTCCCAGCTAGGAGAAGGAATTCCAGAATCAAATCCAGAAGAAGATAATAGCAAATTATTTATGTAGTTACCAAGAAGATTATACAGATGTGGCTGAAATATTGGGCGCAGATGATGATACCCCAGATTGCAAGACACCCCTCTTCTAGTTACTGGGGAAGAGCTTTCATTATAGATGATGAAGTTCATAGATTAAAACTACAAGGAAGTTTCATTGCTAATGGTGCCCAATTGAAAGAATTGGATGTTTTATAAGGGTGATTTGAACATAGAATATGAGAAGCATGAACCAAGAAAACCTTTAAATTGTCAATGTGAAAATGAAGCGTACAGGTAGTCATTTAGTGACCACAATTGGGACTGGCAACTCAGTCGTTAAACGAAGTGGTTGCTAAGTGAAACCACAGCTGTGCTTATGATCTTACTTCAGCCTTCCTTTGCTTTGCAGACATGCGAAGGTTGTAAATGTGAGGATCGTTCATAAAGTTATTTTTTCATCACTGTAGTAACTGAACAGTTGCTAAACAAGGCAGTTGCTAAATGAGGACTAACTGTACTTAGATGCTTGGGAATAAATTAATTTAGAAATTATGTAGAAATAAAACACTTTTAATAGCAGAAATTAATTATGTTATTTTAGATGTATGTCATGGGACAGCACAGCTGGTAACAAACTAGAAAAATATGTTTAAGAATTTTTTTTTTTTTCACAAAAATCATGAGGGGAGAATACTTGATTTAAAGCTATTGAGTGGTTTTTAAAACTAACTCAGATTTTTTCCATATTGTTGCTGTTTAGAAGCAAATTTAAGGCTAATGATCTTAATTTTTTGGCAGAATAATGATACTGAAGATGAGGAAAGATTATGGAGAGACTTGATCATGGAGAGAGTCACAAAATCTGCAGATGCCTGTCTTACAGCTATCAACATTATGACATCACCCAACATGCCCAAAGCTGTATATATCGAAGATGTAATAGAAAGAGTTATTCAGTACACTAAGTTTCACTTGCAGAACACACTTTATCCTCAGTATGATCCTGTTTATCGATTGGATCCTCATGGTGGTTAGTATAAGAATAAATAGATATATTGATTGTCCTGAAAGGCTAATGACGTTTGAATTGAAGGTAGGAATGTTACTGTCTGCCCATGTTAACAAAGAAGCATGGAACTGCAGTGGCTACTTCAACATTTCCCTTAAGTAAAAGTGGGTCTTTTTTTTCTTGTTTTCATTTTTGAAAGGCCTAAATTCTGTGAATGTATTTCCTCTTTTTGCCTTAAACTTTCCATTAATTTTGAAATATTCTACAGCTTGTTCTTTGCTATACATTACCATGCACAAATTTCCTTTTAACAAAACTTAGCTAAGCCCCTATTTCCTTTGAGTTGCTGAACCAAATTATATATTAGTCTCTCACAGTCTAGAGTAGACACTTTAATTTTTGATCTTTATTTAAGCTTTCACTTGTTCTATACCACTGAAAAACCTTTTAGCAAAATTGGTTAATGTTACCAAATCCTTAATTTGTACATACCTCTTTTACAGCTTGCCTTCCTGTCATCTATAATACTGGTCATTCTGTTTTTAAACCATTAGTTTTACTGACATGATTTTAACTTGCACTAATCAATCTTTTTTTTTCATGATGGCTTTTGTTCCCTGTCCCTTCTCCTAAAAATATGTAAGCCAGAACCAAATTCTTGAGGAGGTTCCTATAAGCATATTTTCCTGCTACTCATCTATTTTAATAAAATTAACGTACATAATTGAACAAAGCTAATGCGTTATTAAGTGCTTGCTTTAGAAGACATGTTTGCCCCTAATATATAATCCAGCTGATTTTTATCCAGTTGATTGGGTCAATTATGATTGATAAAAAGAGAAAAATATAAATAAAAGTTTTATCTCTGCTTTGATTTGTAACATTGCTAAAATGCAATTTGGTTTTTTTTTTAGGTGGTGTGTTAAGCTCAAAAGCAAAGCGTGCCAAATGTTCCACTCATAAACAGAGAGTAATAGTGATGCTGTATAACAAAATTTGTGACATTGTTAGTAGTTTGGCTGAATTACTAGAAATACAGCTTCTAACTGACACTACTATTCTTCAAGTAAGTTTGATCCATGTCATTCTGATTTTTTCCCTGCACATTTTCCTATAACTTTATCCTTCAGTAGGTATTTGAATAACTGGAATAGATTTTTCTACAGTGCTTAAAAACAAAGCTTTAAACTGTTAGTCTGCTCAAGTAATTCTGTATAGTATTGTGGAAACTCAGTTCAGAATATAATAAGACAAAAATTTGGCTAAATTTGGCAAAAACTGGCTAACAGTCTTGTAAAATATTTGGCTTTCTAACCACTGCCAACTCTACATATTTATAGCTGCCACCTCTAACTTTTTATGTGTTCCTCCTGTAAAAGAATTATGCAGTGTTTTATAATTGCATTTTACTGAGCTAATGTGGAAAAACAGAAGTATTATAAAACAGAGATAAATTGGTTTTTCCCTCCAATCTGACATTTCAATTTCTTTAAATTTAGAATTAAATTTGTTCAACTGCAACTGTAAACTGTCACAACAACCTCATTTAAAAAATGGAGTATACAATTTAAAAAGACAAACAACGGCTGCGTTTAGCTTAAATTTTATCAATTTGTCAAGCATAACGAATTTACCTTCTTTTTTTGTTTATAGATTTCTTCAATGGGAATAACACCTTTTTTTGTAGAAAATGTCAGTGAACTTCAGTTGTGTGCCATCAAACTAGTCACTGCAGTAAGCATACTATTTAAACCAATATTTAATTTTAAAAATAATTATTTATGGTTATGTTTGTTTATGTATATAGAACAGTAAGGGATTCATGAGTTACTTAAACTATTTCTTTACCAACAGCAGTCCATTTCAAAACTTTCCTACCCTGTAGTCACCAAAAACAATTGTAATTTTAAAAAATGCAGTGTGCAAGTGCCAGAATGTAATCTACCGTCTGGCATAGATTATCCATTCAGCAAAGAAGGAAGTCTAATTATTGCTGCAACTGCAGATTTCAAGATTTGTCTGAATGACTCTAAAATATTTTTAAATCACCTTTAGGATAATTGCTAATAGTAAGTTAGATTGACAAACTAGTTCTACAGGGATGCAGCTAGTAAAGAAACTCCAAAATAAGATTTCCAAATAAACTACCAGTTTCTTTGGAAAAAGCAGGAAAAAACTGTTATATTTTCCATTGTATGCTTTTTCTTTATAAAGAACAATATTTTTTTTAAAAAAACATTGATTTTAAACAGGTTTTCTCAAGATATGAAAAACATAGGCAATTGATATTAGAAGAAATTTTTACTTCACTTGCAAGGTTACCAACCAGCAAAAGGAGTTTGAGAAATTTCAGGTAATATATGGCAGCAAAATACCTATCTTATACAATATGTATGTTTTATATATTTTTTAGAATTTTTAAAATGTTAAATATGTGCTTACCTCTTCCACAGGAATATGGAAATTAATATATGTTTAACTTCATTGGCCTCATGTTAGTTTCTGATGTATAGACACATAAGGATTATTGAATTATAGTGCTGGAATTCAATGCTAAATTTCTAGGGCAAGTCTTTTGTATGTAATTGAGATGGTTGTAGAACAAAAATATTAAAATAGGTGAGTGGGGAGAAAGAATCATACTCTGATTGCTACTCAGTATATCAGAATTGGAGCAGGTTAGAGATTTTATTAAATAAATAAAATAAGTACTGTATACACTCTATGTAAATATAAACTCTGGAGTGATTTGTTTTGGTGGCTAAATGGAAGATCAGTTAAGAAAGAACCATTCTACCAGTGCAATATAGTAAATACAATACTACCTTAAAACTGGCCAGACCTGGCTTCAGTTTTCCCACTAGCTAGTTACTATGTCTATGTCTTAGTTAAACCTATCTCACAAGCCCATTGAAAAAATAAAAAGGAGGAAAGGGAGAGCCATGTATGAAACATAGACGTTACACAAAGGGTAGCATAAAAATGTGATTTTTCAAAAAAAAAAAAAAATGTTGAAGAAGAAAGATTTTTAATGTGACAGAATGCTTGAATTTCATTATGAGTGAAAATGTTAGTTTTTGTTGTATCATTCCAGTCATTCCAATCATATCCTAGATTTTGTATATTGCACTCTTTGGGACCCTTGAATACAATAGCTTTCTATTTGCAGATCAGATCTGAAGTGTACTCATAGTAATGGAAGCCATCTGAAAATTTGTCACAGATGCAGATGTTTGTTGTTGAGTTTACTCTTGATAAACAGTAAAGAGTTTTATATTTGTCCAACAGGTTGAACAGCAGTGATACTGATGGCGAACCTATGTATATTCAGATGGTGACTGCATTGGTCTTACAATTAATTCAATGCGTTGTTCATCTACCATCAGGTGAAAAAGATTCTAATTCTGAAGAGGAATCTAATAAAAAGGTGAGTCAGTTTTGAAGGTATGTAACTTTTCCTATAATTATATGAGCCACTCTTGGGGATAAAAATATAATAATAATAGGAGCACATAACAAGTAAAGGAGAAAGTTAATGGCCAATGAAAAAGACACTGAAGAAACTATTTCAAGATAAGGAAGCAAATAAAACTGGAGAAAGCAGAGAAAGAAAAATAAATATGGGAAACAGAATTGATAGATTAAAGGAAATGTAACTGTAGTGAAGTGACACTTATCTTTTCCAACCCTCATCTCAGTTATCTGAGCTGCTCCCTATTGCTAGGGTTCAGGCAAAACATAAATCTCCTCTTTTCTTCTGACTTTTAAAACCCCAGTATCTTAGATTTGCAATTGTTGTGGCATGTAGAGACTAATTCTCAATGAGCAAACTGTCCTGACAGAGAAATATTACTTTAATTCATATAAAAATATTTTTTAGAGACAAAATTAAGCCAAGGAATCAGTTGTATACAACTAATAGGAAAAAAACCCTAATACATCTGTCTAATCACAGTGCCTGAACCCTAGCAATAGTCAATGAGCAAACTGTCCTGACAGAGAAATATTACTTTAATTCATATAAAAATATTTTTTAGAGACAAAATTAAGCCAAGGAATCAGTTGTATACAACTAATAGGAAAAAAACCCTAATACATCTGTCTAATCACAGTCTCCTATTTAAAGACTTGTAAGCCTTTTCTTTAATGAAAGCTGATGGGTAAACCTTTTTTCTTTGATATAACTCTCTTTGCTGCTACCTGCCCATTCTTTTAGACATCAGCACCAACTACCTTTCATATGAACTTTCCTGTCCTCTCCTTGTGCCAAGGAAAAACAAATTTAGTGGTGTTTCTCACTACACTGACAAAAAAATACGCAGTTTAACTATCAACTGTTAACTGACACTAAGCCATATATCCTATAGAAATGCTGTGTGTCCTTCCTTCCTGTTTATAACTTGTCCCAATCCTGAAGAATTCTGGGAGATGTATAGCAACAAAGAACAAAATTATAACACTATAACAATAATATATAACAATTATAGCACAAAAAATTATCTAATAAAAAAACTTGCAATAGAGGCCCTCAGTGAAATTTAAAAAGGCTGAAGGTTCATAGATAACATAAATAACAGATTTTGTTCGTGAAATGTCAGCAGGGTAGAATTGCCTATACCTCTGGAAGAAGGTGTTCTAAAGAGTGGAGGCTATTATGGAGGATTCCTATCATCTGGTCCAATCCTATTTACTTTTCACAATTATAGTCAGATCCTCTACCCCCATCACCTGGCAGATTTAGTACTGATGTGCTAGTCCTAAAAGGACTTTAAAGGTAAAGCCCAGCACATTGAATTGGGCCTTGAACCTCATGTCAACCAATGCAGTGTTTTTAAAATTGCTATTACTTTAAACTGGCACATTTGATTTACTAGCAATTTAGCTACTACGTCATGTACCAGTGTGCAGGTTCAAAGTCATCTTCAAACACAACCCCACTTACAGTGTATTATAATACTTCATTGCCTCTTAACTGCATGTAATGTAAAAGATAAATATTCTTCGTAGTTGTTACATCACAGCATTATTACCACTTTGGTCCTCCTCATCTATGGTGAGAACTGTATATATTGCATCTGCTGTTACATAAATTTCAATACATGTTCAGTAACTGTGTTCTGTTTTGTTTTAGGTGGATCAGGATGTCCTCATTACAAATTCATATGAAACAGCTATGAGAACAGCACAAAACTTCCTTTCTATTTTTCTCAAGAAGTGAGTAGAACTCACATTGTGTATTTGTAGGAATTATTTTTATTGAGTAACTGTAATTTATTCCCATTGTTTAAAAACTTATATTCTTTAAGACAATGTAGAAATGGGAACCAAGGTAGAGATAGGTCTTAATTGTAATTGCACAGCTCATTGCATATGTTGCTGAAAATAATGTAGAAAATTAACCTGATAATTTCAAAAGAAATATTAATTTAAAGCTGGAGACAATTCAAGTTACATACTTAGAAACAACAAAAGCAGACATCCCTCGGATGGGCATAAACTTTCCTTCCTTCCTTCCTTCCTTCCTTCCTTCCTTCCTTCCTTCCTTCCTTCCT